GCCGCTGTACTTATAAACACTCAAGTATTGGATTTGCTACAAAATATGCCACAAAACTTGTGAAACCACTGCACCTTGGCAGGACAGCTGGTGAGTGTTTCCACACAGCCAATTACAAGTAAGGAGAAGCACCAGATGAAAACTCTTACTTTGAACTGCAGTAATTTTTTTTCCTTCTGCTATCTGATCTGATGTACTGAATTCTGTCACCTCTCTGAAAAAGAGACTGCTTTGCTTTTGTCAGTAGAAGGGATCAGATACTGCACTGCTTTTGAGTACAGACATAAGCCATGGTGTACAACATCTCTCAGCCTGACCTGAGCATTGAGTCCAATGCAGAATACCATGTCTAAAAGAGTACCTGACAAGTTCCTAGAAGGAAAGACAAAACTTTATTAGTAGTTACATAAATGTAATCATTTCATCTCAGAAATGGTTCCAGTTACAATACATTATCATTTACAATAAATAACATTTTCCAGAAACAGATTCCCAATATAAATTCTGTGATAGCTCACCCATCAGCTCACAGGGAGAAGTGCTTCCCTACAAACTACTGACGTGTGCACTCGATTCGCAGCCTGGACAAAAGGAAACATGATTTCTCTTTTCTCCCTCCTTTTATAAATTCTATTTCTAAGCTTTAAGGTTCCCTCCCTTGCCTTGAAGAGCTCCAGACCTAAGAGGTATGTGAAATGGGTTCTCCTCTGCTGCAGAAGTATGGGATTAGTGTTCTAGTTAGGGATCAATGACAAGCAATAGCTGCTGTTAAGAAACTCTTTCACCTCTGTCCCATTTCCCTTCTAGAGGAATGCTTGCCCCTCTCAAACCTCACATAAATGGCTCAGAAGACTAAAGCAGCTGTCATTTTATTACCACCATCCCAAATCTTCAGCTGACATCAGCCCATTACCAGTACATTGAGGGGCAAAACTGGTTTCACTTGAGGCTTAAAGCAGAAATGGGAAATTTGCTTAAGAACTCAGTTATTTTCAGAATATCAGAACTGTCTGAGGAAAGTTTAAATTCAGCATAGAGAACACACACACACATGCACTCCTCCTCTCTGAAGTTCAACACCCTGTTAAGTTCCTTGCATGTGTGTGCACTTGTTTGCCCACAAGAGACCAAGAAAGAAAAGGAAAATTAGCATCCTCTCAGCAAACACATCTGACAAGCACAAAAGATGCTTGAACAGTACCTGTATGTGATGCATCTGACAGATGGAGACTGCTGAGCTCTGACTACCTAAAAGGATGCAGCTGGAAAATGCATTCTCACACATGAAACAAGAATAAACTTTTTTCCCACCTCCCCAAATAAAAAGATCCTCTACAATTAAGAGTGTTCACATTTCACTTGGAATTTCTCAGCAATCTACTCGGTGAATATGAAAGGCTGAACCACAGGGCAGAGAATTTGGATGTGCAGACTTGCCAAGGTGAATTTTGTTTCACACTGCAGTAGCATTTTGGTTAAGAAAATTAAGAACACAAGCCAATGACCTGTTTCCACCACCTGTGTCAGAAGTTGTCCTCCACACATTGCAGGAACCTCTCGGACTGCACGTGCCTGGCCCTGTTGCTTTTCCAACAAATATCAGGGTGACTCAAATCCCCCATGAGGACCAGGGCCCATGATCTTGAGGCTACTCTCAGCTGCCTGTAGAAGGCCTCATCCACCTCCTCATCCTATGGTAAACACCCACAACAATGTCACCTGTGTTAGCAGGCCCCTTAATTTTCACCCATAAGCTCTCCACTCCATCATCCATCTCTAGGTGGAGCACACTGGTGTACAAACACTTAAGAGAGGAGAAGGGAGTGGAGCCAGTCATACCAACTACACTGCATCTTGGTGGTGGGTAAGGGAAAAACATGGAAAACCCTTGCATTAGCCCTTTTTAGCTCTTCACAGCCTCTCCCACCACTATGACTCCTGCAGCCACACCGAGTTCTCCAGAGAAACGCAGGGCTGGGCACAGGACAAGTGTTCCTCAGCTCAGCATTAGTAGCCTCAGAGGCTGTTGCTGGCTGCATTTAAGAATCAGAGGTGTTAAATCAGGTATGAGCACGTCATGTTGCTGCAACTTTTCACTACTGATTCCTTCCAGGCTAGCTTCTGAC